ACCCGAAACCCTAAACCCGAAACCGCTCCAATTCTTGCAGCCCTCTGCTCTCAGGCCAGAAGCCCTCCATTCAACAGAGGGAGCGTTGAGGGCATTGAAAACCCTAAACCCTCCGCAAGGGGCTTTAGGGTTTTCGGGGTCAGGGTTTAGGAGTTTAGGGTTTAGGGGTTTAGGGTTTAGGGTTTGGGGTAGTTCTAAGTGCAGTTATAAGTAGGGTAACGAGAGTTATAACCCATGATCCCACTAAACCCTAAACCCTAAACCTTAAAACCTAAACCCTAAACCCTGAACCCTTAACCCAAAACCATATTAGGGGACTTATAGCCCCACTTGTAACCACCCATGGAGCCTCCAAGCAGCCTTGGGAAGGCATGTACTTCAGCAAGTTCAAGCTGGGCAGCACCTTGCCTGACTGTTTTGGGGAGCAGGATCAGGCTTTGGGGATTTAGGGGTTTAGGGTATTTAGGGTCTGGGGGCTTGAGGATTTAGGTATTTAGGGTTTTTAGGGTTTTAGCTCTCGGACATGCAGCATGACTTTTTCACTGGCACTTGGCAGCCGCAGTGTCAGGAGCGACAGCAGCAACCACAGCAATACCATCCACCCTAAACCCTAAACCCTAAACCCTAAACCCTAAACCCTAAACCCCCAGCCACAGCAGCAGCAGCTATCGAGATTGCCCGTTCCCACCCTCGAGCCGGACTCGGCCATTTTCTGGGCTTTGCATCCCTTGGAGTTCTTAGGGTTTAGGGTTTAGGGTTTAGGGCTTAGGGTTTAGGGTTTGGGGTTTAGGGGGTTGAAGATGCCGTCTAAAAAAGGGGCCTAAAGAATTGCCTAGACAATTTTGGGGGTCCCTTATTATAAATAAAGTATAGTATACCACAAAGCCCTAGTCTAATTACTAAGGCCCCTGCCTTGCAACCTGGCCTTTCGTTGCAAAGTCCCGACACCCCAGACTCCACGCATGCAGGCACAACCTGGTCTAAAGATCCTGCAGCACACCGGGCAGACCAAACCCTAAACCCTAAACCCTAAACCCTAAACCCTAAACCCTAAACCCTAAACCGTAAACCCTAAACCCATAATCCCAGGCCCAACTTTCGGAGTACAGGGGCCTTGCTGATGAGTAGAGGCTTATGGGGCATGTCATACTATTTCTATATACAGTGTGCTCAACCCTAAGCCCTAAACCCTAAGCCCTCAACCCTGAGCCCTAAACCCT